GCTTATACTATGTCCTAAAAGTAAAAGGAATCCAAGAAAGTTTTTGAGCTAGGGAGTGAATCAGATTGGTTCATCAGGATATTTATTTTTAGCATTGAGTAAAGGATAGGGCAAGGGAATTAGTATTTAAGCATTTACAATGTTCTAGCATTATACTAAAATCACAAAAACCCTGTTAAGTAAGTTCTGTGATTATATCCATTTTATAGTTGAGGGAACTGTTAAGGAACTTGCCCAGGGTCACACAGATAATAAATATCTAAGGCTGGATTTGAACTCAGTTTTTCCTTATTCCAGGTGCAATGCTTTATCCACTGTGCAACTTAGCTCTTATAAATGGATTGGAGAAGAATGAAACTGGAGGATTTGAGATAATGGAGAGGTTATAAGAACCTAAACTAGGGTGGAGTAGAATAGAAAAGAAAAAAGAGCAAATTTTATGTGTGCCCTTATAGGCACTTATATCTATGTTCTTGTGGCATCTTTGTGTTAGATGGCAAACTCCTTGAGACAATTAGTCAACAAACATTTATTAAGTGCCTACTATGTTCCAGTGACTGTACTAAGGTCTGGTGTTGCAAAGAAAGGCAAAAGACAGTCCTGGCATTTGAGGATGTCACTAAATTTTGAGACAACATGAAAACAACTGTCTAAAAACAAGACATATGCAGGAAAAATAGGAAATAAACAACCGAGGGAAGTCACTACAATTGGGAGAGCCTGCGAAAGGCTTCCTGTAGAAGGTGGGATTTTAGCTGAGACTTGACAGAAGCCAGGGAGACTAAGAGGCAGGAGGAGGTAGACAGCATAATGCCTTGCACACACTAGATGTTTAAGAAATACATGTTGGTAAATTAAAAGAAAAAAAGAAATATGTGTTGGTATAAGTTACATTAAGGCAAAGAGTTAGGAGCAATGTGAGAGAAACAAGACAAAATGAGCAATTATATATATGTGTGTGTACATATACATGCATATATGTGTATATATACCAATAGATATACAAAATATAATGTATATGTACATACACACATGAGTGTGTGTCTGGATAGATAGATAGATAGATAGATAGATAGATAGATAGATAGATAGACAGACAGATAGATAGATAGATACAGTAGCAATAAGATTTCTTCTTACTGCTCATCTTAAAAAAAATAGTAAATCTAAAAGGTAAAGGGTCCCATGATGATATCTAAAAACCAGAGAAATAATATCAGATAGAAAATAAATGATCTAAGCCAAACTGTTATTTTTTATGATAAATGATTTGAAAGTAAATATTGTATAAATAACTTATGACTTGTAAATATTGCACAAAGTAATGACATCAGTTACTTAGGCTACAACTTTGGGGATTATCAGAGTCCCTTGTCTTACTCAGCTGTTTATAAGTCTAATAAACTTATTCATTATCAACTGTGAATAATACCCTAAAAATGAACCAAATGCCTGCATTTTTAAGGAGGATTATTCATTAGCATCTGTGAGAAAAATCTCAGACCTAAATCTGTAGAGTTAAGGTATTTTAAATCACTTTCTAATTTATTAGATTATCAATGCAGACTACTGAGGACAGATACATTTGATACGTAGCATATTGACACGTATTTGTCAGTTACAAATCATCAATTCAATTAAATATGGAAGTAGTACTTTGGTATATTTCTTCCTTCTTTCCTTCACTCAATAAATCTATCAAGCACCTGCTATTGTCATCAGGGAAACAAAAGTCATAATCCAGTTTTATGCATTTTTTCTCCTCCTACTTTCCAATAGTCCATGGTAATTTAAACTAAGTCAGAAAACATACATTTTTTGGATAAAAAAAATCTTTAAATGAAAGTTGTTTTGCATGTAAGTATGTAGCAATAAGTAAATAGATCAAAACTCTTATTATTCACTCAATAAAAAGCCTGTGTTTAAAGACATAGGCTAAATTATTTCTTATGATGATTTGATCCATTGGTTTCTCCTGTAATCATTGAATTATACAGAAATCATTGTCATAATCTGATTTTTTTAGTTTATAAAAAAAAAAAAGAACATTTAGATACCATGATACCCTAGGTATTTAGGCTTTCTTTTTACAAAAGAAGATCTTAATCCTCACCTTAGTTTTCATGATTTTTGAATGGGACATTCCATAACTTCTTCCAACAAGAAGCCATTTACCAAAGGCTTCACTGCTTCTTTTAACAGATTGGAGATATAGACATGGAAGTCAGGGCCATCCAGTTCTGTTCAGAGGAAAACAACCACAATGGTGGATCAAGCAATCTCAAGAATTGGCAAGGACCTTGCAAGGGAAGATTGTTTCATTTTCATGCTTGTATCCTCAGTGCCTAGCATAGTGCCAGTCACATAGAAAAACCTTAATAAATGTTTGTTGATTGATCAACTTCAGGGGACATGTAGTGCCACTCAGACCAGGACAAGAATTCCCTCTACAATAGAGCCTTCATACCTCTTCCTCCAAAGGCAACCTTATCCATTTGTTTCAGAACTTTGATGATTGCATTATTTTTTCCTTAAATCAAGGCTAAATTTATTTCTTTCAAACTAGTTCTGTCCTCTGAGTCCAATCTTTTTTTTTATTAGCATGAATCAATAGTTATTTTATTTATGTAATAATGGTAATAATAGCATTTATGGTCATTTAAAATGTATAAGATGCATTACATGCATTATCCTACTCGAGTAAGATGAAAGCTTAGTTTCAGAAGCAAAAACCTTTTTGAAATCTCCATTTCTCAATTCCTTTCCCTCCATTTCTTGTTTTCTTCTTTTTCTTCTACTTCCCTCCACTACATAGGGTGAATTCTTAACTCTCAAAATCATCTAAAATTGTACAAAACTTCCTAAAATGTGTGGGATTATTATGACCTTCAAGAGCTGTAATCAGATATAAACAACATGGCAGAGTGACTAGTTAGCTGTCCTGGGGGAAAATCTGGGTTAAGATTCTCCCTGGGAGACATACTAGCAGTGTGATCCTGGATAAGTCACACAACTTCTCAGTGGCCCCAGGAAAGACTGTAAGTTTCAGGATAAATGCTGATATGTCCAGTAGAAATGTTCTCTGTCTCTGTCTCTGTCTCTCTGTTTCTCTGACTCTATTGCTCTCAATCCCTAATAGAAGAATCCATAAAAGTCATTCATTTATTAATATTGTGTCAAAGTCAATAAACTTTTAATGCAATATGAGTTGTACTCCTACAAAATATGACTTTCCTTTTTTTTGTTGGCAGGTATTGATTTATTTACTTTTCTGGATGACATTAACAACCCAGCCTGTTGATTTTTCCCTTTTCAGCTCTGTTGCCCCTCATGCTTCTCTAAGCCTATTACTGCATTGCTTCAAAATCTATTTGCTTCTGAAGCTTCAAATTCCCCACTGTCAGGCAGCAAAGGCATCTGGTAATTAATTTAATCCCAAGCCAGACATCTGCCCTGGCAAAGGGAAGAGAGGGCTTCATGAGCATTTTTCAGCTATGATCAAAAATTTTGTGTAAAGATTTTGTTTTCTTGGGGAAGTTACAGCACCTTATACTTAAAGGTTTAGTTCAAGAATTATAATAAACATCAGCTCACATTTGCATGACACTTTAAATCTAAATGTTTTCCCCATTTTACAGGTGAAAAAATTGGGGTTTTGAGACTTACATGGTTTGCAGACAGAATCACATGGCTAGTAACTAACTGTCTGGAACAGGATGTGAAATCAGGTTTCTTGACTCAAATTTCAGCATCTTATTTAGCTATACATATATAAATAAAGAATGCTAGAGGTACTGCCCATATATACATATATTTAAATGTGAATACATATATACATGCAATCACATTTATGGTAAAAGAATATTTTTACACCTCCTTTTTAGTAAAACTGAAACTATAATAGATAATACCTTTGTCTAAAGTTCTTTCCAAGGTGAATGATAGGTCCAGGACAAAATGGCTTTTCTTAAAGAAATGGAGTAAACCTGATAACCAAATTTATCTCTATCTTTTTCACAGTCTCTGTGTCCCTATTCACCTAAAGTGACTATTAGCCCTGGGACCTACATTGAGAAAGGATTAAAAAAAAAAGTAGTAATGGAAAGGAGATTTTTTTTTAACCTGAAATGATGGGAGGGAATGAAATTTTAGAAAGCTTTTTTTTTTAACATTTTTTTCCTTGTTAAAAATTCTTATAAATGTTACCTCATATCACTTTGTGATAGAAAGTTATTTTACAGGTCATGAGGGACTATTTGGACATCTGTTCAATTAAACAGTTTAGACATCTGTCTCTCCAAGCTAGAAATGGTATCTAGATTGGTGTTTAATTAAATAAAATTGTTCTGGCACGCTGATATCTAAACATCAAGCATAGTATTAGTATTAACATTTTTCATCGACAATACACAGCCATATGTAAGATATATGTTATATATGGATGTATAAAACACTATCTATCAAAAGTTAGGGGTAGATGACATGGCTATAATCGTAATATACACACACATACAAACACAAACATATGGAAAAGGACTACATGTAAGTAGTCGTGTATGTGTGTAGTTATGTAACTGTAAATATATGTATTTAACGTATAACATACATATATTTATATTATAATCATAATGTATAATTTAATGTAAACTTACCCATAGTTACATATATATACACTCACACAAACATGTAAACACATGTTTTTGAATGTGTGTATGCATACAGAATTGAAACTGAGTTTCAGATTCATTTTTAAAGCTAGCAAGTGAGATTTTTTTTTTGGAGGGGAGACAAAAGGCAGAGGAGACAATATGAAATGAGACCAGTTAAACATATGCATGTGTATATGTGTGTATGTGCATATGTGTGTATGTATGCGCATATGTGTGTGTGTGTGTGTGTATATATATATATATATGTGCATATAGGCATGTATGTGTGTGTTTATGTATATACATTGAATGGTAAGAACTATTGAAAGAAATATGCCCATCACCAGTTGGCCCTGATCCACCTACTAAGTCCATTTCAAACAGGACTTGATTACCAATAGTATCTGCTGTTGTTGGTTATGAATGACCTGCAAAAAAAAAAAAAACAACTTATCGATTAAAAGCATCACAGAATCTCAGCGTTGGAAGGGACTTTGAAGAGCAGCCTTCCAACCATCACTCCAGTAAGCTCTATATCATATCAGAACAATGCTCATCCAGGGTCACTCTGAAGTCTTCAAATGAGAAAAATCCTAAAACATCTAGTCCCACTTCATTTGGGGATGGTTCTAATTCTTGGGAAGCTTCTTCCCCACACTCCTTACTTCAAGGCTAAATTTACCTCTTTGCAAATCCCACCCATTTCCCCTAATTTCCCCTCTGGAATGAAGAAGAAACGGTAATGTTACCCAAATCAATTATAATCTATCTGTTTAAACTAAATGGTTTAAGCTGAACTGTACCTCAAACCCTTCCAAACAGGAAGTGCAATTGTTGACCTCTCCAACTTCAAGTCTCAACTAAAATCCTATCTTTTGCTTCTTCAACCCTTTTTTATTCTAGAGCCTTCCTTAGGCTCATTACTTTCTTTTTATGCTGCAGATTATTTCCCTCATAGATTGTAAATTACTTGCAGGCCTCTTTTTGTATCCCCAGCACTCAGCACAGTTTCTTGTACACAGTAGGTGCTTAATAAATATACATGATTGGTTAATTGTAGTAATTTATTGCTGACAATTCAGCTCTAAATCTATGGTCCTTTCATCTTATAAAGTTATATCTTCCTTTTGTCTGTATTGGAGCATTCTGATCTTTCCAAAATTATACCTAATTTGCAAGTAAAAATCAAGCTTCTCCCAGCCCTACACAGTCTGGCCCTTAGAAAGTAAGCTACCAGAGGGAAGGTCTTTGGGTCTTTTTGAATTTGAATCCCTAGCACCTATCATAATGTCTGCCATGTATGGGCTTTTAACAAGTTCTTATGGATGAACTGATTGATTGTTATCAGGTTTGTGTTTGTTCTGCCTTTCAGGTCAAAAGAATTTAACTTCTGTAAGCATGTGATTAGCCAGTTTGGAAGCAAAGTTTTAGAGTTTAGATGATACCCCATCATATCCTAAATAATAATAATAATAATAATAATAATAATAATAATAACAATTTTAAAAAATGTTTTCAGCCCTATCTGCTAGCACATAAAATTTGGCATAAAATTATGTACAAAATGATATTTCTATCTATAATCATTATTAATATCTGACATATATGTAGTGCTTCAAAGTTTGCAAAGTGCTTTAACATTGATCATCACTTTAGAGCTTCATAACAGCCTTGAGAGGTAGGTACTATGAGTATTGTCATGCCCACGTTATTGATAAGAAAATCTAGGTTCAGTGATCTAGGTTCAGATGAGGAACTGCAGCAAAGAGGGTTAAGTGACTTGCCTAGGGTCACACAGCTAGTAAGTGTTGAAAGCTAGATTTGAATTCAGGAAGATTAGTCTTCCTGACTCCAAGGGGGGCAGTCTATCTACTGTACAACCTTCCTGCAAAATTAAAAAAAAATAATAAATACTAGTTTTTGTTTTATTTATTTATTTTTATTTCACATATACATTTAGATGAAAGGATAATTTTAATTTGTCAGTCTTGGGAATAGAAATTGCTTAAGTTTCTGCATAATTGAGGGTAGAGAATTTTCTAAAGGGGAAAAATGTAAATAAAAATGTAAATAGAAAGGTGGTAGAAAATGAGTTAATTAATCTAATTACTGGGATTCAGTTTACATATATCTGTACCCAGATTTAAGCAAACTCAATGTATGAAAAGCCCAAGGAATCCCTAGGATATTAATATCACTCAGGACATGATAACATCAGAGAGATTCCTCATAAGATTTCTTTAAAATACATTTTTCTTTAGGTGTTTAAAATGTCAATTGTCCAAAACTGTATTTATGGAAGAGAATAAGGTATATTTGTTACTGTTTCTGTTATTTCTGGACTGTAGGTATTTGCTGTTGGGCCTCAGTAAAGTCTTTTGCTTCTACGGCCATTTTCCCATGTGTACAGTGGTGATAGCAATAACTGTTTGAATTATGCTACTTGGGAGAATGGGTTGGTCAGCAATTGTGAGCAGTTCTCAACAGAGAGCTTAGATTTATTAAAATACTCATCTGAGCTACAAAACTCCTGAAAATCCTTCTTGCAAATAAACTTCTAAAACAATCCCATTAAATGTGGTACAAACAAATTGTGCAGTCAGAAGTCAGATTGCTTTACGCTGCAGCTGTAGACCCCATAACCTGAATGGAGCCCATTTCAGCTAATGAACCAAGAATTAGCAAACTACATAGTAGTCTCAAGATGTGATTCGGGTGTCAGATGCATTTTGGTTCAATCTCTTCCAATATAATTTCATTGGTCTTCATCACAATCAGAGCTTCTAGAACGGGATTTTCTTGTTCAGTGGGAAGTAGCTTGGAATAAGGACCCTGGCATTTCTTCATTTAAGGTACAAGCTGCCCCGTGAGGTCGTTGTGAGGATCAAAAGAGATAACTTAGGTAAACTACTCAGCGAACTTAAAAGCTCCATATAAATCCCAAATAATATCTGTTATTATCAATGCATTCTCATCGGCCTTCAGCCCTTCCCCCAGCGTACTGAATGAGGTGGAAGTAAAAGGATTGAATGTTTAGAAATAGCAAGAGTGACTGTCAGGTAACAGGCATTTGACCAACCTGACATTCACATGTAGTGGATGGAGATCTGGCCCATATACTGAGTGCCTCGAAGTGGCCTCTCCATATGAAGAGGCTGGGAGACCTGCTTCCAGGAAGCTGGGATGACATGTAAGGGAAGTGGAACATCCAGTACCTGGTTCTAGCAGGCTCAACAAATGGGGAATGGGAAGCTCTTTGATTGGCTGCAGATGCACTCAAAAGGCCTTACTTGCTTTCAGCCATGACTCTTGCGTCAACCCTTGTAGTGTTCCTTGCCCACAGAATCTGGTGAGCAATAATGTCGTGTTTCTCATCTCCCCTCTGGGGCTACATAGCTGCTGAACAGCCAAAATGACTAAAACAAGAGAAGTGGAAGCAAAGGTCTTTTGAATGCCTCTGCAGACAATCAAAGAGCTTCCTATTTATCTGGTGGTTGCCCTCCAGAACCAGTTACAGAATATCTACACATCCTCCATAGTCTCTCTGATGAGAATGGGAACTAGACCCCAAAAACTAAAAACCCTGGACTTTCCCACATGGTGAAATCTCTGGTGTCTGAGGCTATAATCCCATCTACTGGCTTTTCACTGTGGCTACACCCAAGCTGTTACCCTTCCCTATGGCCCTTGGCCATTTCCCACCCTTAATCCTAACTAGGCTCCATTTTCCCTTGGCCACTTGGTCCCGGTCCCAGGAGTTCTGTTCACCCTAACATACTGGCCACTCACATGCAGATCTCCCTCCTCCAGTCACCCCAAACTACTTGGCCACTCCTAGATCACTCCCACACTCTTTCTGTATATAAGGTCCATCTTGTCTCCATTAAGGAGCTCAGATTCCTAAAATCTAGCCACTGCTGTAATTCTTAGAATCTAGCCAATACCTGGAAGACTCTCAGATTCCTCAAGAGTCTGGCTAATATGGTAGATTTTTAATAAACCTTGTCTTTGGCTGGAAGAAGGCTTTGGTGGAAGTCTTTCAGGCAGGACCCGCATATCATGATATTGGGGTCCCAGCACCCCTTACCTCTAGACCTCATCATCTCCAAGGCTCTTATATATTATACCATCACACCTCTCCTGGAAATAATCTCTCTGCTTGGAGAATGGCCAACAGAGGCACTCTGTACATGGGCATACTTGAGACCCCTATTATTTAGCTTACTCATTATTAGTGTATCCCAAGGTACCTGCTCATTCTGGATTGGTGTAACCAGCTCCCTTTGCCTTCCTGGATATAAACATGCCTATTTTGAGCCACTTTAATAAGCTTACAATTCCTAGTAGGTCTGACTTCCTGGGACAAGTTAAATAAGTTTCTACATTACTTGGAGAGTTAAGATTTATACCTGGGGGGAAGGGGCAGTGAAATGGATTAGCATGTTGATTTGCATCCCTTACTACTACTATTGATTGTGGTCTGCATTCAAATCTTACCTTAGAAATACACTGCTGTATGATCCCTGGCAAGTCACAACTCTCAGTGACCTGATCTGCTTGTTCACAAGGCTGACTCAAGGGAGATGTGGGGCAGATCGTAGGTGTACTGTACTTGTTAGTATGGCTTCAGCTGGTAGAAGAGAATTACTATCCTCATGGAACACCCTAGAAGGCAAAGGGGCAATGTCAAAATCTGTTAAAGATTTGTAATTAAAGTCCTGTATTTTGAGAAAAAAATTAAGAAAAGCAACTCAGAATTGTGAAAAAAGAAGAGCAGATTGTTTCTGTTGGTATGGTAGGCTGGGAGAAGATTTCTGGAGTGTATCACCTTTTGCTTAATCATTAGGAATGATATTAAGTCAAGTATTTTAGCATATTTCAGTTTCAGTTTCAAGAATAAATAGGATATGGGGGCGGCTAGGTGGCTCAGTGGATAGAGCACCAGCCCTGAAGTCAGGAGGACCTGAGTTCAAATCCAGCCTCAGACCAAACACTTGACACTAGCTGTGTGACCCTGGGCAAGTCACTTAACCCCAATTGCCTAAAAAACAAACAAACAAACAAAAGAATAAATAGGATATTATGAATTTTATAAGTTTCTCCATTGTAAATGTGCACGGATTTGATTAGAATGGGAACTTCTAATAGCTAATTCTGGCAATAAATTATGATGAGGGCAGGAATTGATTTTGCTTTTTTTGCATCCTCAGTGCTTACAGCACAGTATCTAGAACACAATAGGTGCTTAATAAATGCTTGTTGACTTGATTCGACTTGACAGGATATCAAGTATGAAAAGCAGCATATCTTGATTTCACTTTTGAGAGGGAAATTTATGGGAGAAAATCATATTTAGAATAAAAATTAAAATGAAGATTCCAGAAAATCTTCAGAGAGAGCAAATACTGAATGCCAATGGGGAAAAAATGTAGATAACTTAGACTTTACTTTCTTTTTTCTCTAATAAGCAACAAACAGAACCAGCCTACAGGGGTGCTGGCTCATTAAGAATGGAGGAGGGGAAAGAAAAAAGAAAAAAGAAAAGGTCTCATCCTGGTATACAAGCCAGTTTGGAAGCAAAGTTGAAGACATTAGAAACCATATTCAAGTGAATATAATAAGAGGGGAAAAATAGATGATCCAATCAGTCAGCCCATAATTTGTCCCATTTATTTTTAATGTGACTTCGAGCTTAGAGCTGTGAGAATACATTGCAAGTTCTATCTCCTATTAATCTAATTAATAAGGAGCCCCAACTTTCATCAAGGAGCTATTTCGAATTCACAGAATTTTCAGTTAGAAGAAACTTCAACCACCATCTAGTCCAAATATGAAAGGAATCCCCACAATGACATACCCAAAAGGTGGTAAGTAGCCTCTTCACCTAAACTTCAATATGACATATTAACTGGACACTTTAAAAGAAATCTGGGCTTTGGATCTATTTTTTGCCATTTCTTATTCTTCTATTTTTATCCAGTGCTCTACTTCCATCCTAACTAAGCCATTGGGATTTTCTCACTTACGCCTTTTGTCTTCCACTTCTCTAGAGGAAGAAGGAGGCTTTTGTTAAAAATTCCCTTAAGGTTTGATTATCTGCTCCTTAGTTCCCACATCCTTTAGTGAGAACATTACTTTGGCAATCTTGGCTCCCAATCAGCTTATATAAAATCTGAATTCTGAGCCATGTGCTAAAATGCTGAAAGAATAGATATATTCTTCCCAAGTCTATGCCCCAAATCCTAATGGATCTATAGTTCTCCTCATCTTAAAGCCTACTTATCAATTTGCACCAATTCTATATATCCATGCAGTCTCACTTGTTAGGAATAGTTTATCAAATGGACCTATGATCTATCGGTATAGGGAACTCTCCGAGGATATTCCCTCAGCTATTTCAGGTGGTCCACTTTTCTGTATCTCATGCTATTAGTGAGTTCTCTAGCCCAATTAGAAGTTAAGGAATTTAACCATGTTCAAACAGAGAATTTAAGTCAGAGGTAAACTGAGGCTGACTCTCTATCCACTGTGCTACTGATCACTTCCAAATCTATATTTCTATCCCTGGATTATATTCTTGGTTCTAGACCTAAATCTCCAACTACCTATAGTACATTTCCAAGTGGACATCCCACCACTGCCTCATGCTGTCTCTCATTTAAAAAAAAATATTAAGGTAGGAAATCATTGCACTGTCCCTTTAAAATGAATATAATTAATAAAAATTAATTCTTCATTTCTCAAGTATACATATTATGTATAACTCAACATTATATTTATTTTTATGTCTATCATTCCCCTCCAAGTCTAAAAGGTTTATAAGGAGAGTCAGGAGTCATATTTATCTTATTCAAACTTTGTATCTCCTACAAAATTAGCTCACTGTTAAAAATCATATTTATATAACATGGGGTTCTTGAATTTACCGGAATCAGTTAGAATCAATCTTATAAAACTCAGTGTAGAACTTTTCCATTCTCTCACTGTAAAAATTTAAAACCTTTACAACCTGAGTGGCAATAGGTACAGGTGGTGCTGTTCGTCACTTATGACACTATATTTGTAGAGACCATCATATCAATGGTTGAAATTAGATCAAATCCTCAATCAAATGTTGGCCATTGTCTCCAACATCCAACTCATCCAATTGGGGGTTATTTTCATGTTGACTTCCTACAAAAATTGAGTGGGTACGGCTGTTAAGAAAACTAAATTTCTGCTTGACTTAAGCCCCATTTCTACTTACTGGCAGAGATAGCAGATGCAGCTCTGCCATTAACTATGTACATGACCTTGAAGTTTACTATAGTCAAATTTCTGTTTTCTCTCAACATAATGAGGATATCAACATGTCAGCTGGGTTATTCACTAGTCGTTCCTTGTTCTTGTTAAGTGAGCAGCCCATTTTATTTGTCATACTATTCTTTGATGACATCCTTTACTCCTGTTCTTCTTAAGAGTTCCTCATTTGGCATATGTCACAATATGCTTTCATCAACCATGGGCTTTTCCATTGTCCTCTGTGTGATGCTCATTTTTAGTTCCTCAGAAGCAAACATTGTTCAAGGCCTCACTACCAAGTAGCAGTATCCATAAAATGTGGCAGTACCAAAATATGGATCTTTGCCTTCATGGGAAGGTGGGAGAGATTAGTAGACAGGCCTTGAAATTTCCCCAAATCAGTCCAACCCACTCTGCTCTTTTTCAACTAGGGGCCAACTTCATTGATATTCTTTACTTTCTGTCATATATATGTATATGCTTATGTATGTGTATATGCCTGTATATGTATGCATGTGGGTATGTACACATATATGTGTATATGTGTGTTGCATATATATACATGAGTGTAGCTAGATAGATATACTGTACATATACTATATATACTCTAGGATCAAAGTCAGCTAAGTTGAATTGTCTTATGTTTGGGCAAGTCCTGTACGAGGTTCTTAACCTTTTTGTACATCACGGACTCTTCAGCGTTATGTTTTTAGTCAGATTTTCAGTCAATTAGTCTTTATTAAGTACTTGCCATGGGTCAGTCTGTGCTAAGCACTAACAGAATACATAGGCTTAAAAAGAAAACACACTGCATTAAAATAGAACTATCAAAAAATTTTTGAAAAAAAATCATGCACTACAGGTTAAGATGCCATGCTTAATAAGACATTCATTCAAATGGATGTTTAAGTGTAGGCAAAGCCAATGTATACTTTTTGTAAATGCTGCTATTTGGTTACATCATTAGAGGATAATTATTCTCTTTTTTTGGGGGGAAAGGGAGGTTCCTTAGATGAATAGACTTGTTACTCTGGGCAAGTTAGTAGAAGGTATGGATGAGCAGACAAGGGAAGTCATCATTTTAGAAACAATTCTGAAAAGGCAGGTCAAATTTCCTCAAATTAAGACACCAACCTTAATTACTCACACATCAGTTTATGGCAAGGTTTTATTGAAGAGTGTTCACAAAATACCTTTCTAGCTAAGATTAACATAAGCAAACATTATTCAGCTTAGTCTGAAGCTCTTTCTATTTGAATGCTCCAAAGATCTGGTCCCTGTTGTACTCTTTATGGACATGTTGTAATTTAAAACCATAATTTGAACAGTATGGATATTTCATAGTATCCTCCTCCTCAGCATAATTTCTCTGCCTCAACTAGTTCTTCCTATGTTTAGTCTTACCCTCAAGCTAAGTTCTCAGTTACCCTTGTTATCTATAGTCAGTGAGGTAAAGTACTCTAGATGGGGGCCTTCTATTATCCCTGCTATGGCTCAAGTTAAAGCAAAAAGAAGCCAACTGAAAATGTGGCTGATTGTGTGTGTATATGTAGATGTGCACACACATATGTGTCTGAGTTTGTATCTATCATACTTTAAATCCAAATCTATATGTTGCTTTCATTAGTAATGTCTTTATTTGCCCTCCAGTGGGGAAAAACATCCTGGACTTGGAAGCTGGCTACCATATACATAACATTTTAATATTTGCAAAGCACCTTGCGTATATAACATCATTTCATCTTCACCTAGGTGACAGGTGCTATTATTATCACCATTTTATAGATGAGGAAAGTGAGGCCTAGAGGTTATGACTTGCCCAGAGTCACACAGCTACTAAGTGTCTGAAGCAGAATTTGAAATCATGTTCTTCTGACTCTATGTCCAACAACTCTATCTACTGGATGACCTAGAATGTGTCTCCCACTGTAGTTTTCTACCCTGCTTTGAACACAACAGTCCTACTGGGAGCTGTTTAGCAAAGCAGCCAACATAAACCCATTGATTTTTGATCACACATAAGTAAGTATAGTTCTGCTAATAACTTCCTCCAAGGTGTTAGTCTGGTAGAGAAGTGACACATGTTCTCAAAGGCCATGTCAACAGAACAGAATAGATTGTGTTGGAAGTTCCCACCAAGTGGGTCCCAGGGTTGACTACATGCTTTTCATGCAATCTCAGTTTGGAGGAGTTCATCAGCAGTGTTGGCCACCCAACGATAAATATTTCATTGGCATCAACTCAACAAGACCATTTGCTTATGCTACAGAGGGTTATAAATCTGTGTCAGTGATAGGAGGCCCCATGACCGTGACATCACAGTCACTTGAAGGCTCATTGTTGTTCAGTCTTTTGAGTGGTGTTTGACTCTGTGATTACGTTAG